AGCAGAATGTCAGAAGGCATCCATAGCATCAGGTGCATACAGAAAAAGACCATCTGATACAGATTTAGAAGATCTCCAACCACTTGAAAAGAAAGTCCTGTGTTTAATTGCTATGAATTACCTTCCTACTACACCACCAGAAGGCAGGGATGAACACAGTGAGTTTCAGGAATACTTACGAGACATGAAGGTCCACATCACATGTGTTTCTGTAGGAATTAGGTTAGTGATAACAGTAAAGTGCGATTCTCTCAAGAGCTTGGAGGAGTTATGGGAAGATTACTCCTGCGGCCTTTTGGGTAAGATGGTGCGAGATTGTTTTGTGACTGAAAAGATCTTAAAGGCACTGAACCTGGCAGAGCTGAAGCTGAAGACAACAATGGACATAGAAGAGTACAATGCATGCAAATTGTACTTTGAGAAGAATGCACTCAAAGGTCAGTAAAAAGAAAGGAACAAAGGCAGGTACTTTGAGAAAATGTTTTGAAAAGTTTGCAAACACAATCCATCACTCTTTCAACATGGTGTACTTGTAGGGTTTACACACATAAGGAGACTGGGGTGAAATTTTTGATCATGACGGAACCAACTGTCTTGTGAGTTAGCTGAGACATACTGACTATATGAGCCATGACAAAATTAATGCTAGAAGTGATTTGTTTTCAAGACAATTAATATTCCTTTTTTTTTTTTGTGCTTTTCAAACATCCTGACCCTATTAACCTACTATCATTTCTTATATTTTCCTTTCAAAGCCAAATGAAATACCTGGGTGTCTATATTGATCAACACTTACACTGGGGACCTCAGATTAAACATATTAACAATAAATTAGCGAAAAATATCGGAATTATTACTAAATTAGACACTATATAAATCTGCCTACTCTGAAACAATTGTATTACTCTTTCATCCATCCCTATTTGACCTATGTTATCACTAGTTGGGGAAGTGCTTGCAAAACTAGACTAAATAAAATCAGAACTAAGCAAAATAAATGCATTCATTCAATTTTTTTTTTGTACACACTAGAGAGAATGCTATGCCTTATTATTATTTATATACAAGTCATGTATATCAAATCTTTCAATGTTTTCAACAACGTTTTGGTTCAGTAGTTCTTAAAGGCAATGTATCTATAGAAACAATTTGTTGTGCCTGTTTCTAACTATTTATCTGTAGAAAGTCTGAATGGTAATCTCTCTCCTTGTATACCTTTGCTTCTAGGCATCTTGCCTCTCTCTGAAGAACCAGAAGGGCTAGTTATGAAACTTCAAAGAATGAAAGGTGAGTAAAAGATGCTGTTAAATTAACCAGTTCGTGGTGAAACTAAACTAAGACTGCTTTGAAATACTTTGAGTTCTCAAATATTTTGTTTGATAGGAAATTAAACCCAATTTACAGTAAAAAGAATTGAATTTACTAATAAAATGAGATCTTGGGAACAAAGGGGTTAATTTAATTGTTACAACAGTACTGCATAATTATTTCCTATTTTTTTAATAGGATTTTAGACTAAAAAACCCATATTAAGCTTTTCATCTAAAAATTTTTGTTGTTTTAAACAAAGCATAAGTATCCATCTATCTTGATATTCACATTGGTATGTCTTGTGGTGACTTTTTCCATGGCAGTCACTGAATGCTAATCTCTGTCTGTGTGTACCTTTGAGCTTAGGCACCTGGCCTGTCCGTGAATTTTGTGCCTCTGATCCTGAGGAAGATTTAGCAGCAGAGCTACCTATGAAACTTCAAGGAATGGAAGGTGAATGAAAAATGCTATTTACTGAGCTTTCAGGATAGAACAAAACAAAGATTACCTTGAGATGCTCTCAGTTTTTATGAAAAAGATTACTTTAAAAAGTAAGAAAACTTAACTTAGTTTTCCCTCACTCTGTCCAGTGGTATGAGGGAATAACTATTTTAAAAGTTGTTAGTGGCTTACTAGCAACCAGTTGTCCCTCATTCTGTCCTTTGGTACTAGGAAATGTTAAGATGGTAGTGGCTGGGGATGTTGAAACAGTATAATTAATAACTAATAAGTGTAATTATCAATAGTACATGTATAAAATAAAATTTTTTTTTTTGAACCTTGATCATAAATTATGCATTTAAAAACTGACAGTGCTTTATTTAAGGTAAATTTTATTACTGTAGTATTTACATACAGATGGTCACTTGTTGGTTTGCCATTTTTATCATCTCTCTGTTAAAAGTTAAACACCATGAATGCTAACATTGCACTGTACACTTTCTCCCTTAGTTACTTCACCCTCAGCTGCATATCTCACCACTGGTCATGAAAAAGAGAAAAAAGGTAGTATTATAACTGTAATACGGTAAAATAGCAATAGTTATAACTGTTATAATTATTGTTATTAATAATAGTGAAAATAATGATAGTATGATAGAGTTTTTTTTAACTCTGATAATAAAATTTAATTAAGTCTTGAAAAACTTACATTGATGTTCTTTTAGATAAATTTCATACACATTTTACAGACAGTCACATGTTGGTCTGCCATGTTGTCATCTCTCTTTTGAATGTAACACCATGAATACTAATATTGCTCTGTGTGCTTTTACCCTTAGGTACTTCACTCTCCACTAAACTGTCCACTGTTGGTCATGGAAAAGAACTGGAAGGAAAATTGAAAACTATGAAACTTCAGGAAGAGAAAAGTGAGTGACAAAAGGACTCTGAAGTTAACATTTAGACAGTTATCTATAATTAATTATTTAATGTAACTGTTATTTTTGCCAAGCAAGAATGCTCTTCAGCAGTTAATTGTGGTAGAGTCAGATAATACTTTTTAAGGTAAATTATTCCAAATGTGATGTACCTCATTCTCTACTTGTGTTAAAAGGGAATTTTGTGTTGGCTTGTGGAAATGAAACAACATAGTCACATGATGTATTATTTATATACATGTATATCAAATCTTTCAATGTTTTCAACAACTTTTTGGTTCAATAGTTCATAAAGGCAATGTATCTATAGAAACAAATTGTTGTGCCTGTTTCTAACTATTTATCTGTGGAAAAGTCTGAATGGTAATCTCTATCCTTGTACACCTTTGCTTCTTATTAGGCATCTTGCCACTCTCTGAAGAAGAACCAGAAGGGCTACTTATGAAACTTCAAAGAATGAAAGGTGAGTAAAAGATGCTGTTAAATNTTAATAAAATGCTTTGACTAATACTGTATATACTACACCACCAGAAAGCAGGGATGAATGCAATGAGTTTCAGGAATACTTGCTAGACATGAAGGTCCACATCACATGTGTTTCTGTAGGAAGTTTAGTGATAACAGTAAAGTGCGATTCTCTCAAGAGCTTGGAGGAATTATGGGAAGATTACTCCTGTGGCCTTTTGAGTAAGATGGTGCGAGATTGTTTTGTGACTGAAAAGATCTTAAAGGAACTGAACCTGGCAGAGCTAAAGCTGAAGACAACAATGGACATAGAAGACTACAATGCATGCAAATTGTACTTTGAGAAGGATGCACTCAGAGGTCAGTAAAAAGAAAGGAACAAGGCCAGGTACTTTGAGAAAATGTTTTGAAAAGTTTGCAAACACAATCCATCACTCTTTGAACATGGTGTACTTGTAGGGTTTACACACATAAGGAGACTGGGGTGAAATTTCTGATCATGATAGAACCAACGGTCTTATGAGTTAGCTGACATACTGACTATATGAGCCATGACAAAATTAAATTAAATTAGAAGTGATTTTTTTTCAAGACAATTAATATTCCTTTGATGTTTTTGTACTTTTTAAACATCCTGACCCTATTAATTAACCTACTATCATTTCTTATATTTTCCTTTCTGTCTGGTTCTATTTGGTTATGATCCATTTATAAATAAATTAAAATAAGCTAAAAAATATTAATTGGCAAGATCTTTGTTGGAGGAGCTAAAGAGAATGTGTACGAGTTTTTTATAAAAATGATTAGAGGTGTGTTTCATTGGTTAATATAATTATCATTATTCAGTGATTGCCTCATTGTTTATTTTGTTATAATTTGGTTTTAGGTGTTTTATCCTCTGAATTCTACTCCAAAAGTTCAACCAGTGAAAGTTTACAAAAACAAGAAGAGCTGAAAAAATGGAAACAGAAGACAAAGATTGTTGAGACAGAGAAAATGAAAGGTGAAAGGAAAATTGAAGACGTACATGTATCAAGTTATTTAATGATGAAAAGTTGTTGTGAATGGTAACAACAATTACATGAAACCTTTGAGGAATAATGTCAGAGCAACAATGTGGCATCAGTAATATTGTAAATGGTACAACTTAAAGGAAACAACACATTTGAATAGAGGCTGTGAATGCTAATCTCTCTGTGCTCTTTTCCCTTAGGTACTCCACCCCTCACTGTGATAAGCACCACTGGGAAAAGAAGAGAAGAAGAACCTACAGGAAAGATAGGTGTACAGGAAAATTTGTTTGAATTAATATCTGAAGTAAATATATTTGTATCTTCAGCTATTATGCCAAGTGTAAAGCTAGACTTGCTTGATAATAAATTATGTATTAAAAAACTGACATTTATGTATTTTAGATACATTTCATATACTTTTTACAGATAGTCACCAGTTGGTCTACCATGTTATGATCTCTCTATTAAAAGTAACACCATAAATTGCTATACGTACCTTTTCCCTTAGGTACTTCACTCTCCGCCAAACTGTCCACTGCAGGTCACGGAAAAGAACTGGAAGGAAAAATGAAAACTCTGAAACTTCAGGAAGAGAAAAGTGAGTGAAAAAGGACTCTGAAGCTAGTTGGTCAGAATCAGTTAAATGTAACTGTAATTTTTATCAGGCAAGAATGCTCTTCAGAAAGTAAAAAGATTGAATTTACCAATAAAATGAGATTTGGGAACAAAGGGGTTAATTTGTTACAAC